ACAAACCCTATAAATAGTTTTACTAGAGTGCTTGGCCTAGTATCACTGAGAAAATAGTATGTAAATTTTTACACAGTAAATTTCCTACTAAAGTAAACCAAAATAAATAAACATTAACCAAGATCAATTAACATAATAAAAAAAAAAAATAATAAAACAACAAAAACCAAGAAAATCAAAGAAAACAGAAAAAAATAAATACAAAACAAACACCCAACACATCCTAAGCGGACTCACTCTGCATGTGTGTTCCAGGCAAGGGACAGCACGGCATCCTTATGTCCAACTCCTGCAATCTTCTTCTTCTTGCTTCCTTTCTTACCAAGAGAGAAGGCTGGCTCCAAGGAATCTGCTATGTCGAGGTCCCACACATCCACTACAGGTGCCATGCTTCCTATGGCCAGCATGTTGCCTAGAGAGAAAGGTGGAAAATGAGTTTTCGGTTGGAAGCGGCATCTGTTTATCTACTTGGAAGGAGTGAAGTGAAGTGAGTCTGCCTAACAGGAAGTATAGAAGATGACTCTTTATAATATGCTTGGGAATTTTTGAGCAGGCATAACTACTGATGTTAAAAACTAAAGCGAAAATGATAGTTATAATCTTTTTCACCCTCTGATGATGGGGTTTTCCTGTACCATTCTGAGCCATGCTTTGGGCAAAGAATATGGTTAGCAGTTTCAATGAAAAAATAAAAGAATGGAAAACAGACATTTACTAAACTTACTACATTTTTTGCTGTAGTATATACATATTTTTCTTTTTTTTTAGAAAAGAAGTAGAAGAAGACTTGTATCCTATATCATGGGCTGTAACTGCATTATAACAACACACCACCACCAACACAACCCACCTGGTCTGAGGTATTCATCTCCAGGATCGTAGTTCATCCACTCCATGCAAAGAGGGATTGCTGGGAGGAGGATGTCGTGGTGGACGTAGAAACTGGATTCCTCTGCATTGTACACTGTGAGGAGGACAATTTAAATTTATTTCTATTCATTTTTTATATATTTATTCTTTTATTTACTTTTTAAATATCACACAGAGAAAATATGACGATTTTTGAGGAAAAAGGCGAGAGTAAATTTAGGAAAAAAAGGGGGAAATAACTGAGACTGTGAGAATGGGAGATTGAACAGAAATCGCTAAAGTATCAAGACAAAGGAGAAATGGAGTGAGAGAGAGAGAGAGAGAGAGAGAGAGAGAGAGAGAGAGAGAGTGAGAGAGAGAAGGAGAGGGAGAAGGAGGAGGAGAAGGAGGAGGAGGAGGAGGGGGAGGAGGAGGGGGAGAAGTAGGGGGAGAAGGAGGGGGGAAAAGGAGTGGGAGAAGGAGTGGGAGAAGGAGGGGGAGAAGAAGGGGGAGAAGGAGAGGGAGAGAGGAGAGAGTAGAGAGGTGAGGGAGAGGGAGAGGGAGAGGGAGAGGGAGAGGAAGAGAGAGAGAGAGAGAGAGAGAGAGAGAGAGAGAGAGAGAGAGAGAGAGAGAGAGAGAGAGAGAGAGAGAGAGAGAGAGAGAGAGAGAGAGAGAGAGAGAGAGAATGAAATGAGAAAAAGATAGAAAGAAAGTATAGGCAAACCAGACAGCACCTACCATATATCTCCAAAATGGCTGCATCACCATCAACATGACCAACTGCAACAAGGTTATCGCTCGACATAATGACCTCGTCTTCATCATCGCTGTCCTTATTATCGGCATCCTTGACAGTCAGGTGGGGATCATCATCGTTGTTAGCGAAGACTGCGATGTTGCTCATTGTTAACTTCTGTGAAATGGTATCTGGAAAAACAAGATTGGAAATTAAGTTTCCTTGGATGAGAGTAATACTGCCTTAGATAATGATGAAGGAGGTGTAAGAAAATAAAGAATTAAAATGTGGGAGAGAATGAGGAGGAGGAGGAGGAGGAGGAGGAGGAGGAGGAGGAGGAGGAGGAGGAGGAGGAGGAGGAGGAGGAGAAGAAGAAGAAGAAAAAAAAAAAGAAAAAAAGAAAGAAAGAAAGAAAGAAACTGAAGAAGACAGTAGCAGAAAAAAGAAGAAGAAGAAGAAGAAGAAGAAGAAGAAGAAGAAGAAGAAGAAGAAGAAGAAGAAAAAAAAAGAGAAAAAAAAAAGAAAAAAAAAAAGGGACAAATATACAGTGTGTGTGTGTGTGTGTGTGTGTCAACATGCATGCATGCGCTTGCATGTTTATTGATTAGTTTATATCATGCCAATGAGTACATGGTTTCTTTGTTAATGTACATGTATGTGTGCTTGCAGGTCCAAAAGCAATCCCAACTGCATTCCAAATTCATTTTAACAATTATAATTATAATTTAGTTTGATTCTATTTGTTACAATGGATATTCTTGATGTGACATACTGTCTGTTTTATTTTGCTTCTAAATTATCCCCTGTGTGCAAGGAATGGCCGGGGTTACCATCCACTGGCGGCGAGGGATTCGAACGCAGGTCAGCAAGATTGCTAGACGAGATCGCCACCGCTGCACCAAGGCCGGAGATACA